CCATCAGCCTAACAATGGATCATTAGCACACTGATGGCTGTTTACTGCTTCACTCAGCCCTCTGTGAGTAGTAAACAGCCATCAGTGTGCTAATGATCCATTGTTAGGCTGATGGTCCTTCTTGAGCATGTGATGAGCTGGTTTTGGTTGTCAGCAGCAAAACTGGTTGATCCACTCTAAGAAGGTGCTATTTAAGAGACTGAGCTGAATACAGCACCTCAGACTGAAGAAGTCTCTCGGACGAGAGACGAAACGTTTCTACATTTTTTTGTTGATTTGCTTTGTTTTGTTTTTTTTGAATGTCCAGAGGACCAGATTTAACTTTTTTATATTTAGCTGCAAATCAACACGCAAAAATAAAAATGTCTGCCGCTGCATCTTTTCTACCATCGCACAGGAGAATTCTCACACTTCCTGCTACAATGTGGTGCGTCAAAGTTTACCTGCGCGGTGAGCGTTCCTAGAGCGAGGACTCGTCCGCTAAAGCAGTGGTTCTCAAACTGGGATCCCCGGAGGTCCGCGAGCCACAGCTTGGGGGTCTGCAATTTTTATTTTATTTTTTACAAGCACGTAGATGTTGAACAAGCTGTTAAAATACAACAAAATGCAGGAAATCACATCTGCTATAATTAAAAATGTTCGTCCCGGCATCAGTCGGTTTATGAATGAATCCCTGTTACTCGGTCTGACCGTGGTTCTGTTCAGTTTCATGTGATGTGTAATATCTGAAGAAGTGACAACACATTTATAATGTTCATTATGTGAATAGGTACATTTTAAAGTGGTTTCTGATGCTGTTAATATTCTCACAACTGTAATTTTTGGAAGTTGATGTTAAAAAAAAAATTGTTAACGAAGTGTTTTGAATGAAAATACTCCATGTTTAAAAGTATAAAAAATGTATTAACACTATTAAAGAACAGGTCTTAAGTATTTATGTTACACAAGTATTTTCATTGCATTAAAGAGACTAACTGAATAAAATTATTTAATAAACATGAGGGTGATGAGGGGGTCCCTGAACCCAAAAAGTTTGAGAGCCCCTGCACTGAAGGCTGCATCGTGAACCACAGACCAGTTGAATTCAACGTCTTCATGTGGACAGCAACATCAGTTTACAACAGTCTGTGTGGGGTGGAGGTGAGGGGTGGGGGTCAGGGTGAAGCTGCTACTCATCAGGGTGTTTGAGAAAAACACAGCTCCACATGGACATGCAGTGTCTCTGAGTGTCTTCGTCCCCTGCAGACATGCATCACTTGTCCAAAGCTGTTTTTACGATCTGATTGTCGTGTTGCTGTCAAACGTGTCGTACTTCGGTTGGGGCAAATTCAACCGAGGATGCAGAAGAGCAGCTCCATCCTCTTTAGCAAAAGGTGGCGTTTCGGCTCGCTTTACTAAATTTTGAGTTAAATGACGGGATCTGAACTGGATCCAAGAATGATGGAGCAAACTGTAAACGCATCAAGTGCTTATCTGCTGCCACGAAAGGTGAGTGGTAATAAATTGGCTGCTTTTGTGTGCGTTTGTTTGACAGTCTGTTAGCAAAATATTTCATAAGCAAGCCAGCAGATTTTAATAAAACTCTCGGAAAATGGTGATTTCATGACCTGACGAACTTTTGGAGTTACCGGTAATACAAATAAAGATGGCTGCCACAGCTAACTAAACTTAGGAAACACAAAAATGCCTACAACTTTGTTGTTTTTACAGATATCGAGTTAAAATCTGGTGTGGTAGTAGCTGAGAAACATCCACTACTTATAATTAGAGCATAGACAGAGATCAAGCAAAATCTTTGTTTAAAACTTTTGCATTAACTGCTGAAGCCAACCTTGTCTGTCTGTTAGCAAAATATCTCATGAACCAGTGAGCAGATGTTAATGAAACTCTCAGGAAGTAGTCCCTGCATGTACAGCTAGTACTCTTTGGCGTTTAGTGTCAATCCAGCTCAAGATGGCTGCTGCAGCTAATCAACCTTCAAGAATCAAAGAATGCCTGTAACACAGTCAGTTTTGCAGATATTGAGTTACAATTTGTTGTGCTGGTAGATGAGGTTCAGTCACAACCCCCAGCACTAACAGAATGCACGAGAGTTCACGTTATCGAGTGCGAATGTGCATAACGTCGTTTTCAAAATTTGACCAAAATGGCTACAAATTTGTCATTTTTGAAGATAGCTTAGTTGAAACTTTTTGCATGAAAGACGGTTGGCAATGTCTAAATTTGAATTTTGATTTCCTTACTCAAACCAGCATTCTTTTTTTTTATTATTATTATTGTTAGGACCATTTGTCAACTTTTAGTCTTTTCTGCTTGAATGTTCTGTCGGTGCCTTACCTGATACGCTGACCTTTGACCCGTTTTTGTCTTAGATTCAATGTTATTTTAATGAATGGATTCAGTTCGACTCAAAGACTGCACTTGTCTTACAGCTGTGTGCTTATTGATTTGAGATGCAATGCAACCGTTTGTTACAGCAGCAGCTAAGTGATTTTTTTTTTTCCACACAGCCCGTTCCCAGGAGTTCTGTGGCAGCACTATCTTCTGTCTTTATTAAAAGCTACAATCACATCATCCAGTAGATAGAAGCCAGCAGAGGGCAGATGTTCATGTCAATAGTAGAAGGTATTCCTCTGGGCGCTGTTAATCCTCAGCAACAACTCCACACACAAATTGACTCGGTGCCTTTTCCAGAGAAGCTGCGTATGGATTAGAATACCATTGTGCTAAGTGAATGAATGCCCTCTCTGTTGTCCTGAATACTGAAGGCTTTTGATGCTTTGTTTCTAATGTCTGCCAGTCTGCTCAGATCTCCCGCCAGGCGATCAGATGGAGCAGCTGACCTGGACTGGATCAGGGTTGGGGGGTGGATGTCTGATGCATACAAGCAGGAGTAAGCTGACCTTTTGAGCAGAGCACAGCTAATGGCATTTCTTCTTTCATTAATCGATGAACAGAAAATAATCTCATTTCATTCCAGACGTTCCATTTCTACAAGCTATTTATGGAAAGGGATTAAAACGTCCTCTTTAAAGTGATTCAGCTTCTCTTGCACTTTCTTACAACCCCATTTTGGACGGAAAAAAGTTGGGACATTGTTTAAAATATAAATTAAACTGAATGCAGCGATGTGCATATCTCACAAACCCATACTTTATTCACAGTGGAACACAGAAACAAGGAAAGTGTACTGTTTTTTTTTTTTTATTATTTATTTATTTATTTATGGTTACAATACACCTCAAAAAAGTTTAGACAGCTCAGTTCCTCTAGGAAGTGAGGAGACCAGCTGCTGAAGATTTCAGAGGAACGTTGTCGCCTTCTTGGCTCATGGATTCTAGCTGTTCAATACTTCTGGGAGCATGTCCTAAAATCTGTATATACTCAGGCAGAGGCACTATGCACCTCCATATTAGCAGAGAGGCAGGCTTTTGAATTGTGCACTGATAACAGGCTGGTCGCCCCCCCCCCCCCCCTCCTCTTTAAGAAAATTGATGTAGGGTCCGTTTTCCAAAAATAATTTCAAATGTCGATTTGTCTGACCACAGAACAGTTCTCCACTTTGCCTCAGTCCATTTTAAATGAGTTTTCTTTGGTCCAGAGAAGATAGCAGCGTATTCGGCTCTTTTAAGTCTTTTGTTTTGCTAATTTTAGCTTCTATTAGGATCAATGTAGCCTCTGTTCTGTTCAATTTAGCTTCAATTCTGCTCATTAAAAATCTCAGTTTGTTTTACATTTTAGCCTTTTTTCTTTTAGTTTTAGCTCTTTTTAGCCTCTGTTCTGTTCATTTAGCTTCAATTCTGCTCATTAAGATCTCCTTTTTTACATTTACATGTTTTTTTAATTATTTTTAGCTGTTTTTAGCCATGTTCTGCTCATTTTAGCCTCTGTTTTGTTCATTTTATCCTCCGTTTTGATGGTTTTAGCCTCTGTTCTGCTAATATTAGCTTCCGTTTTACTCATTTTAGCCTCCGCTTTGCTTGTTTTAACTCCAACAACTCAGTTTCATCAGTCATTCAGCACTCAGCGTTCACAATGCTTTATTTCAGAAAATGCAGTTTCTCCAGTTTTATTGATAAACCTGCGGTTTCTGGAAAGGCATACACATTTAAGAGTTATATTTGTAATAGTGGGCTAAAGGAGCAGTACTGTTCACATTAGTACATAAAAATTAAGCTACAAGCCCACAACTGCTCAGTCAAAAAAATGAAAGCCCTAAATTCCTCTCTTTTACACAAAAGTCCTTTCTTGTAGTGTGGGGCAGTTAAGCTACAACTTCAGGGATTAAACAGAAGCACATGATGATTCAACCCCGTGATTTGTCAGAGAGCTCATGGACTCAGTCATTTCCTCTTCTTTTCTTTTCCCTTTCTTCTTCTTCACCTCACCGCTAGCTACTCCTCTTCGTCTTCATCTCCCTGCAGTCCAGAATGGCCTCCCCTCGACTGGAGACTTTCTGCTGCCCGAACCGTAACTCTGCCACGGAGTTCGTAGTCACCTTCCAGCCCGTCCTGTTCGGGGCTCTGACTTTGGGAAGCGCCGCTGTGAGTCTCATATTTACCGTTCTGCAGATTCTGCCAAAGCGCAAAGGATACAGGAGACTGGGACAGTACCCTCTGCCGAGGCCTGCGTCTTCTTCCAGAATACTGTTCATCATCAGTATCTGTGATATTCTGGGATGCACAGGTAAAAAGAAGCATCTGGCCTGCCTTTTTTCTTTGGTCATAGGCGATTTTTGTAGCATGGCGCTGTGCTCTGGGTTCAATCATGCACCCAAATACTTTCTTCTTAACCCTTTTGTTGCCCAAGATTGCGTGCAGTTTTAGCAGAACACACGAACCCTGCTTCTTGCAACCAAATAAGAAACATAGTTGCGTGTGAACATCAATCTAGGACTTGTAGAAAACAGGATCTTGGAGGTTTTCCCCAAATCTGAAGAATGATTCATGATTCCTTCTTGTGGACAATAAAATGACTCATTACCAGTGGGTTTATTTTTGTTTGTTTGTGTAAATCAAATGCAGAATGGCATAAAAAAAAGGCACGTCAAAATTTCCTGTGCCACATGCAGAGGACCCACTCTGACATTCGAACCACTCGTTCATCACTGTGTGTGGGGGGGGGGGGGGGGGCAGGTGAAGTCATGTGTTTCCACACCCAGTGAGATTCATTCAGCTGCGGATTCCCCAGCTTGATGACACAGTTTAAGATGAAATGCAGAACAGTGTGGAGTTTGCATTGCATAAAGGATTTGGGGGGAGCTCTGCAAATTTTTTATTTATTTTTTTTTTTAGTTTCATGGGGGAAATGGAAACACCCCTATAAAACACACTCGCTGGAAGCTCCTATTTCCATGATGCATAGCTGCCATTAAATACAAGGACTCCCTCACTGACAGTAATTGTTTCAAGCAATTACAATGTTCATGTGTGGAAATGTTAATGAAAGCCAGACAAACTGGACCTCTCCTGCATTTTGCTTGTGTTTACGTCTCTCGCCGTTAAAGCAGATGTTATTCAGTTTGGTGCATCCCTCTCTTCCAGGTATCATCTTCAGATCATCGATCTGGCTGGGCCTGCCGAGCCTCGTCAACGGCATCTCCGTCACCAACAACACAGACGTGCTGCCAGAGGTCTTCTGCGTTGGGAGCGCAGTATGTTTCAAAGCCTTACGTGTTTCGACAGTCCATTTACACTCTCATGATGCCACTCATGATGTGAACTGAATAAAAGGTCTTGTTTTACGCTTGATAGGTCACAAGAAAAGGGACTTTGTCTCTATATTCATGCATGATTACTGGAAGAAAAAAAAACAGATTTAATGGAAGGAAAGAGTTATTTGCCTTTGAGTCATGCTCGGCTGAGTGTGAAACGTCTGTCACAATATGTCATTTTGTAAAAGTCATGGCACGTGCTGTTGTTATGTCATCCCCCGTTCATGTGTTGCAGATGTGGATCCAGTTGTTTTTCAGCACTTCTTTTTGGTGGAGCTTTTGTTATGCTGTTGATGTCTTCCTGGTGGTGAAAACCTCTGCAGGGATCAGGTACTTTGTTGTGCTCTTAGGTTTTCACAGTGAATGCCTTCACGTTCTGTTTACGATATTGCTTCTCGCTGCTAGAGGGCACTGCTGTGTCAAAGAGTAGTCACTCGTTTATCCACACTCTGAAGCCCCGCGATAAGAGAAAAACTGTGAAGTAGGAATAGTAGTACAAGTAGTAAGTCGTAGTTTATATATACGTATATATATATATATATTTAAAATGTCATCACAATAAGTTTCCATACAATGGCGAAATTAGTCTCTGCATTTAACCCATCCACCACCAGGTGGTGCGGTGGGTGGCTATTGGGGGTGCCAGGGGGCATTTTTGGGGAGGAAGTGTGCTGCCCAGAGACACCATGAGGTATGCAGTGACTGGAGATAGAACCTGGGACTTTTGGGTCCCGAGCCGGCTGCCCTGCCTCTACACCATCTTGGCCCCCATATATAAATGCATTTTAAACCCTTCCCACGCTTTTACAATAAACAATATTTCTAAACTAAACACTCTAAAAGAGCACAGAATGTCATGATTTCAGCTCTTTGACTCCGTCTGCACTCATCCACCTGCAAGCATTCTTGGCCACGCCCACTTCTCCGCTCTGCACGGAGATCAGATGATCAGCTGCAGGAGGAAATTTATCCTGCAGTGGGCTGCACAAAGGTGCATCAGGTGCTAAATAATTTTAAATAATTTATTTAAAATAAAAATTCCATGCCGATCATGTGGCTCATCTATCCGCCAACTATGTGTCATGTCCAATCTTATTTTGAAAACCCACGATAGAGCGAATCTGCAAGAAATGAACCGCAAAGTAGCGAGGGGCTACTGTATATACAAGATACGACTCACACCGTGTTCTATAACAGTTACTGTATTAAAATGTATGAATTAAACCCTTAACTGCTATTTCAACATAACTGCCACAACAAAAGTGATGACAAGGATGAGCATCGAGTCCATCCTTCCCTGCATCACACTGGTGAACTCCTGTGCCATTTACAATGTGGTGGAAATTGTTCAGCAATCACTTGCTCGTCATAAACGCTTGGGGGAACAAATAGCCAGATGAAAGGTGACTTTGCATTTTATTACACTGCTTAGGACCAGAAGGGATTATTTTCTAAACACTATCGGAAAAAGTAAATCAACAAAGTTCAGTCAGGTCATCTGGACGGTTTCTATTTTTGTTGAGATGTTTCGTCCTTCATCCAAAGGACTTCATCAATCTGAGGAGCCACAAACAAACTCTGGCTGCCTCAGAGGAGTCGAAAGGGGAGAGGACGGGCCCCAGAAACTATCTTATCACCAGCAAATTTGTTGGTCCACTATGGGAGTGTGCTGCTTGTGGGGCTGAGTTTGTTTGTGGCTCCTCAGATTGATGAAGTCCTTTGGATGAAGGACGAAACATCTCAACAAAAAAAACAAAAAAACTGTCCAGTTGACCTGACTGAACTTTGTTGGATTTTTTTACCTGGATTATTGAGCATGAACTTTGATGACTATCAGAAAAAGGTACATCATTTGTGAAGCTGCGGCTGCAACTTGAAAGACAGTATGTCACAGAGCTCCGGGCTTTAGCTGCATCATGTGATTTTGGACTGATGATGGAAAGGGAACCTACGAGAGATTAGTTCATTGCTAATGCTTATCTCAGTGCTGTGAATGATAATTTACCGCTGGAGGAGGACATCACACTGGACAAAGCTCTAACCATCGCATGTCAAGTGGAAGCAGCAGTTAAAAATGCTACACAGCCCTCGGCTGTAAGTTCAGTCCCGTCTGCACCGTACAGACCATACAAGCTGAAAATTCTCATTTCTGAGAGAAAAGAGCATTATGAACAGCTCCACCATGTTCACTATAAACAGTCCAGTCATAAAAATCAACTTCACTGCTTCAGGTGTGGATCAGATTGTCCTGCTGCTCCATTAAAATGATATAACTGTAAGAAAAAGGGGCATTTCACCAAAGTTTGCAAACTGCCTGTGGCTGTAGTGAGAAAACTTGTTCCTGAGCTAGCAGTGCTGTATGGTAATGATGTTAAACTGACTGCTGAAGCTTTTGATAAAATTACATGCCAAATGAACAGCGAAGCACCACGGGGAATTCTCAGGTCCCGGAGTTATTTTTAAACACTGGAGCTTCTGTATCTGTTTTACCAGAAACTATCTACAAGCAACATTTTACACGATGCCCACTGACAGAACCCAAAGTCACATGTGCAAAATGGGACCCACCTTTCATTGGCTGCCTACAAGATACAGCAGGAGGAGCAAATGAAAACAACAAAGTTCCAGCGTTCATCCAGAATTGTATACAATGAAACCTGGATCACCACTAGGCCTAATAAAAGCACTGCAAACTGACATAGTGGAGAAGAGACTTTCATTGTAGAGGATGATGCAAAAAAGCCTCCCAGTGACACAAAAACATGAAGATTTTGAGGATTTTTCTTTAGCCCGCCTTCTTGGATGTGTTAAAGGGTTCATTCATCCACAAGGTTCACCAGTACGTCTAAGATGTCTGCCACTCAGAGTATGTGAAGAGGTTTTAGCACAGCTCAAGCACTGACTCCAAGCAGGCGTCCCTGAACCAGTGGACAGTGAATGGATGAGTCCTCTAATGGTGGCACACAAACACGTAGGGGACTGTGTGGATCTCAGTGAACCTAATAAAAGTGTAATAATGGATTGTCACCCTCTACCTCATATGGATGATTTGTGTACAAAACTGACTGGCGCTACACATTTGAACTAGATTGATGTACTCAGCTTACCACCAGTTGCCAACACCCTGATAGCCGCTTACTACGTTCAGAAGACATGAGGGAATGATTTGGTATGAGGGTCCGAAACTTTTTGGAGAATAATACAGTGGAAGTGCTTGTTCTCGAGGAGGACGGACGCTTTTCCTCCTGCTCCTGCTCCCTCCTGCTTTGCTCTTTGTCTTGTGATTTCTATCGGAGCCTCTCACTATATCCTCCGAATTGTAAAGTATAGATCTGATCAGCTGGTCTCTCAATGCAATTGACAAAATTTTCTCGATGAGAAGACAGGGCAAAGGAGAGCCCTCATGTCCTGAAGGGACACTCACAGCTGGATATACTATGGATTTCTGGGGCCAGTTGAAGATGGTGTGTCTGGCTGTATTGTCTGTTGAGGACGTAGAAGACGCGTACATAATTGGATTTATGATAACCGGATTTATGATTGTTGGTGTTGGCGGGTATCTGGCATATCGACAAATTCGGAAGACGGCGGCAGCGGTTCTGTCAATTGTGAGGCTGCCTGCCTTTTATGAAGGAATGTACCGAGCGGTAAGCTCTCAGACTCAGACGCTGCATGAGCTGAGTCATAAGCTGGACGCAATTTCTGAGAATCGCAGGCCATTTGCAGCTCCTGAGACTCACTGGTGGGAAGGAATCGACCTTGGAGAAGGCTACAAGCTCTGTCCGGTGGTGTGGCCACAAAATTTGGCTGTTTGGAATCACCAGTGAGATGTACCAGCAGAACTATGAAGACAGAAATGGAAATTCAAGCAGAGGCTGACTGACCCAAAATAATTGTGTTATCTGGATTTGGCTTCCCCACTTGGCCTTGAATTGGCAGCTATCTCAACTTCTCCTGGTTGTTTATATAAACGAGAAGCTCCGCCCCCCCATCGCTCCCCTCCTGAGGACTTCTGTGGATCTGTGTCAGAGTTGAGCCGGCTGATAGACACTATGCCATCTTTATCAGGACTATGGAACTTTCTGGCAGTCTCCACGGACAACTCACTGCCCTCATCAGCCTTCTCATGCATAAATGTATTATGATGTCATCAGTATGTCGCTGTTTCATGTGCTGAGGTCATTTTTTTTGCAACTTTCACATTGTGTCCTGTGTAGGACACAGTGCAAGATTTGATTTTTTACACCTCCACTCTCCCTCGTGTTTCTTTTTCCTTATCTGAAAAAAAGGCTGCGCCTCTCGAGGCAGGCAGCCTCAGTCACCTCCGTCTCCTCGTGTATGTTTGTTTATGTTTCTTTCAGACGGGATGTACTGGAACGTAATTTTGCTGTTCGGTGTAATGATAATAAAGCTGATTCTGATTCTGATCCTGAATGTCAAGACCAACACCCACAAGTTCTCCAGTGTCTTAAAGTCGTGGGCCTACAGATCAACTTCAGAAGCTCATTCAAGTCTTCCACTACTAGGACAGTCAAGTCCAGATCACCTGCCTGCTACTGCATAGGGTCCTGCACCAAAGGCAGCTCTTCATTCATACTTAGGCTTAACCTCCTGGTTCAACAAGTTTACGCCAAGTTATGCAACAGTGTTTGAAGCAGTGCAAGAACTAATGCAAATAAATCTATCTGCACTAATATGAACTGTTGCAACAACTGAAAGCTTCAATGATTAAAAACAATGTTCCAGAAAAGCCCACCACTTGCCATCTTCAACAACAATCTGCAAAGTTCATCACAACAGATGCCTCAAGCTATGGATTAGGAACAGGTCTGACACAGTTGCATTCAGACAGTGTGAATGCATTGTTTTTACATCACACACCCTTTCTCCAGCTGAGAGGATATATGCTGCTGTAGGAAGAAAAAGGCTTTTTCATGTGTATGGGTAGCTGAAAGATGGAGGACATGTGTCACACACAACTAATCATCAAGCCCTCACCACTCTGTTCAGAACTTAAAGGATGAATAGAACTGGCAAGAGAATTTCACCCTGGTCAACTAGACTTGTGTGTTTCCAGTAAGACATGAAGTATCAACCTGGAAGTCAGAACATCATGACGGACTGCTTCTCACGTCCTGAGCATCATAGAGCTGAAGATTCTGAACAGGACTTGATGACAGAAATAGCTGAAATCTCTCCACTCCTGACTGCACTCCCACTTGCTGATTTTAATCTGAATGTGAAGAAACTGCAGCAAAATCATCCGTCCAGGTTGGCCTAAAGCATAGGTGACTAAAGTGTGGCCCGAGGGCCATTTGCGGCCCTCTGAGTGATTTTATGTGACCCACAACTGCAGTTTTAGAACGGTATCATGTTGGCCAGCAAGCTTAAGAGGTTGATGCACTTTCTGCTATTTCATTGGTAATCCTTTTTTATATAATGTTTAGGGTTAACAGCAAAACATGAAAAACAATCGTCTCAAAATGAGCAATATGAAGCAAAATACAAAACTTTGGCTATAATCTTTTTATTTTCACTTAGTGGTGAAGCAGCAAAAAACAGTTTTCTACCAGAAAGAAGACTTTTGTATAATGATTCATAAAATTTGGCTAAATATTGCAGTTGATAAAATAAACGAGAGGGAAATTGGATATTTTAAAACAAATATAACGTGGTATCATCTACATACGAGTTGATCAACGTTATCAAACCTTCAATGAATCTGTTGTAGCGACTGACAGCTGGACGATTTTTCAGAACTTCGATCAGCCTTTTGGGCCGCCCGCGGTCCAAAAGGCTGATCGACACGCTTTTAAAAGGACACTTACTCATATTATGCTTTTGTTGCTGAGAACAGACTAAAATGAACTTTCCAAACTCAAGAAAACAATAAACAAAGACACAATGAAATCATTTTAAATAAAAAATATAAGCTTAGTGTTTATGAGGCTTTTAATGTTTTGGATCTACAACAATTTAAAACTCTTTCTCCACTAAAATGTGTAAACTTTAGCCCTTTCTCCAAAATATTGTTCACGTTGAGAGTTAAAGTCACATTTTTGAGGCCCACGAGTCTTTTCATCTGGATAGTTTTGGCCCACATGTAAAAATGTTTGGACACCCCTGGCCTTAAGTGATGAAACCCCAGAAGAACTCAAGTCTGTGTGGACTTTCTTGAGAAACACCATTGATTTTCACAGGAAAACACCTTCAGGTTACCAAGTCTGCAAAAATAGGTTGTTCACCTGGCTCATGAAGGACATCAGAGTGTGGTTCTCTCTGAACACCTCAGAGAACGTTACTGGGCCATATATGAACAATTTGGTCTAAACAGACTTGTCATCATGCACTATTTGTAAGGCACATGACAAACCAATGGTGTTACACCTGCTTTATTACAACATGTCAAACCCCTAGAGGGTCCATTTCTGCTGTCAACATCATGGGTCCATTTGAACATTCAGCTTCTGATGGCAGGTTTGCCATCGCCCTTGTTGATTATTCCAGTAAAAGGTTTGAAGTAACATCCCCTCCTGATGCCAAACTTACTGTACTGATCACTGTTTCCTATTTTTATTCCAACCACCACAACAAGCCTCGGCTTTCATCTGTAACTCATTATCACCCCAACACCTCCTATAGAGAACAGGATGAAGCACAACGCTTTAAAAAGCATCATTTTTCAATTAAAATGAAAGTGTGAGATGCCTTTTTCTGACTTTGCTTCACTCTCCGAGTAATGAGACATGAGGTCTTATTCTGAAGAGATGGCTGTTTTACATGAAAATACCAGCTATAATTAAAGTCTTAGTACTCCTTGAAGAAACAACTCTTGTCTACTATTACATACACTTTTTTTGGCTCAATATTTGCTAAATAGACTAAATAATAGTTATTTTTTTGTGACGCTGATTAGCTGTGGCCATCATCTTCAATGGACTCCACAAGTCAGACAGTTGTAGATGTAAAGTCGATGATTACTTTACAAAAGTTTTATTGATATCCATCTTGTGGTTCATTTGATATTTTGCTAACAGACAGAGCTGACTTCAACAACTGGTGTTGAACTTTTAGGCCAAGACGTTACACTTGGAGTAGCACTTGGAGGGTTTGTTTTACGTGACTCTTTGTTACCACCACACCAAATGATAGCACGATAGCTGTTAAAATTGACAGGTCATGGCCATTTTTGTGCTTTTTAAGGTCAGTTGGCTGTGTCGGCCATCTTGAATTGAGTTGTCACCCAAAGTGAATCAGTTCTGGAAGTACATCTACTTATTTTCTGGACGTTTCAATAAAATCTGTCTAGTTGTTCCTGAGACATTTTGCTAACAGAGAAACAGACGGCAGCAGTCTATCATCACTCGGAATATAGACTGATCAGTCAACTGCATGTTTCAGTGTTCTTTCAGACCTATCATTATATGCAAAGATGGCCTGCCTGTTAGCAAAATATTTCATGAACAGCACAAAAGAACAACTGAACTATCAGCATAACTAACAAAGTCCATGCTCAATAATCCAGGTATACAATCCAACAATTTTCAGTCAGGTCATCTGGACAGTTTCTTTTTTTGTGTGTGTGTGCTGAAACGTTTCACCTTCCATCCAGAAGGCTTCATCAGTCAAGGAATAACTAACTTCATCTGTTCCACTTTTTTAATTTAACAAAACTAATGAGAGTTGTGATGCTGTTTCTAAAGTCATTCACAGCTGCGAGCCTAAGTCTCATCATGTGCTTCCCCCCCACCCCCCACTCCCCATCAGCACCATCGTCCTCTACCACATGATCACATGGGGTCTGGCTGTGCTGCTGTGTGTTGAAGGAGTGGCCATGCTCTACTATCCATCCATCTCAGAGTATGACACTTTCTTCTTCTTCTAATCGTAAACTAAAATACGTAAATGCAGTCGCTTTAGTACTAAACAGAAAGATGTGATTTTTGATGCTGGTGTAAAAGTTTGTCTGACGTTCGTGCAGCTGTGAACAAGGCCTCCAGCACGCCGTTCCTCACTACGTCACCACTTATGCACCGATGCTGCTCGTCCTCATAGCCAACCCCATCTTCTTCTGCAGGACCACCTCTACAGGTCAGTTCCTCGCTCTGGCACGATCACATTTTGCACTCGGGAGGAATCAAATAACGGTTTCATCTTCGCGCAGTTACATCTCTGCTCAAAGGACGACAAGGAATCTACACAGAAAACGAGAGGCGTCTGGCGAACGAGATCAAAATACGCTTCTTTAAAATAATGCTGGTGTTCTTTGTTTGGTAAGTTATTGTTTATGGCTCTGGTGAAAATTTGCACCACCTTATTTTTTTAAAAGTGCAAATACAGTAGCTGATAGTTTACAATTGCCCTGCTATATTATCTATTAACACCTTATTAAGATACATCAGATCTAACATTTAAAATTAATTTTGTAGACGTCCTATTTGCTTTTAGGTTAAAAACAGTCCGTCTTTTCTTTTTGAGTCATGTTTTTGTGCTGTTAAACATAACTTTCTGCTGAAACACCTGATACCAACATCACTGACAGGCTTAATTTCTGCGTCTTAAACTGTTATTTTAAAAGGAAAACTAATTTATTTTAACTATTTGCTCTGTGCAGGGAGTGGTGTGAAATATTTAGCACACAAAACAATAAATGTGAAAAACGTTTGTTAAGTCATGGATGTGAAGCATCTATTCACAAGAGATTTGTTTTTGTTTTTCCAAGTCAATATATAAATATTAACTAGAAAAATTGCACTTCCTTTGAAAATGCAGTGAACTGCTGAGGAACCAGTGGTGTAGTCGACATTTTTGTAGTGGGTATACTGTGTGCGCAGAAACCAAAGTAGTGATCCCTCACTGATCGCGAGGGTTACGTTCCAGAGACCCCTGCTGGATTGAAAATCCACGAAGTAGCGGCATTATATTTATTTTATTATTTATGTATATTTAAGGCTTTATAAACCCTTCCCACGCTGTAATAAGCACTTCATTTGCGCTTAAAAACTTTGGCGATGGTGATGTCTTGGGTTCAGTCATATTTAAAAGATTGTGAACAATGTGTCATCATCAATAAATCTTCTTTTCTCAAAATTGAAACAGGGATCCCTCAAGGAACTATTTTAGGTCCCATCCTTTTCAGCTTGTATATTAATAATCTTCCTGAAATTTGTCCTGAAGTTAATTTGCAAATGTATGCTGACAACACTATCATTCATGCGTTGGGTAAAAGCAGTGTCAGTGAAAAACTGAACAACAGCTTACAGAAAATATCAGCGTGGCTAAATGACTCCTGCTTAACTCTTAATACAAAGAAAACAAAGTGTATTTGCTTTTTGATAAAGAAAGCTCCATCACAGTCCTTGCATATTCGAATCAATGGGGATTCTATTGAACAAGTATCACAGAAAAAATATTTAGGAATCATTTTGGATGCTCAGTTTAACTTTTAGAACCATGTTGATAAAATCTGCAAAACTGTTAGATCAAACATGAATTGTTTTAAAATTGTTAGAACTTGTTTGCCACTTCATTGAGCAGAGATGTTCTTCAACTCAATGATTTTTTTCATGTGTCTTATGGAGCTATGGTCACAGACTCACCAAACTACACTTAAACCATTGGAAAGTCTCTATAGTCGGGCCTTGAAGGTTTTAAACCAAAAGCCAATCAGATTTCATCATTGTAATATTTTAGCTAAGTTCAGTATTTTATAATATTCTAATTTTATAAATTACAGTTTATTTTTAATTGATCTTCAAATGCTTCAGTGGACTTGCACCCAAACCAGCAATTGTATACAGAAACTGCAGGGTAGCAGATCTACCAGAGCAGCTTTAAATGATGACTGTACCTTTTCATAAAACCACTTTTGCTCAAAGTGATTTCTCTGTGCGAGGATTCGCAGTTTGAAACTCACTCCCTGTCAATTTAATCTGTAACCAGATTCAATATGTTTAAAAAAAACCTTGTATTTTTCACAGTCGCAACTTTTTGCAGAAAAATGCAAATCCTGTGACTTATACACCGAAGTAACTAATATAATTTTTTTCCCCATATTTATAACCAAATTTTTGGCTGAGATTGGGGGTCCTCAAAAAAAGTATATTATATATTTTACCCCTAATATATATA